TCCGCCTCAGTCTTCCAAGTAGCCGGAATTACAGGTATGCGCTACCACGCCCAGCTGATTTTTAGATTTATTGTAGAGACGAGGTCTCGCTGCCCAGGCGGGTCACGAACCCGCGGACTCAGGCAATCCACTCACCTCAGCCTCCCAAAGGCGTGGGATTACAGACTGAGCCACCGAGCCCGGCTAGATTGCAAGCTCTTTGAGGGTTTACTCTTCTCTGCAGACTGTCGCAGCTTTCATGCATGTTGAATGAATTGAAGTTTGGACTTTGTCTTTTCTTTCTCAGCAGGAATCTTGTAGCATCATTACAAATTAAAGCTAATTTCATCTCAATGAATTGGCTCTCTGTGCCTGCCTCCAGCAACCCTTTGGAATCTGTTCCTGTGTACATTAATGGGTTGAAAGACAAACTCTTCTTTGCACAAGGCATTGCAGGATTCAGAAGCAGTCATGCCTTAGGTGATTTGTAGGGCATCCTTGCTTCTGGGTTACTGGCTACTAGCTTTTGCTAGCAATATAATTTAAAATTAAAAAAAAAATTTTGTAAGGAGACAATTGATGCATTTTAGAGGGTTACAGGGGAAGTCAGAATAAAATGATATATTTTTTTCAAAGCAGGTCACCCTCAACTTGTCAACCTCTAACACCCTTAAATTTAAAAGAATTCTAGAGCTTCTTTACCCACAATGTTAGGAGTCACACAGTTTTCCATGGAACGATTACATTTTACTTATAATTCATGAAATGTGATAGTATTTTCTCCCTCATCCTTGGGCTATTAGATTGTTATTTTGGAATTCTAAGTAGATTTGCTGACATAGAAGATGCTCGTGAAATTTTGGATTGGAGTAACCCTAAAAATCATATAGTCTTAAAAGATATGTACTATACCCACATGTGGCTAGAGCAATACCCTCTCTCTATCTGGCAAGGTAGTTATTTATAGTGTCTTGTTATTACTTCACACTAAAAAAATAGTTGTTGAGTATATAAATCAACAATGATTAAATGAATGATTAATAAATGTGTTTCCTTCCTTCCTTCTCTCTCTCCTTTTTTTTGTTTTTTTGAGTCAGGGTCTTATTCTGCCACCCAGGCTGGAGTGTAGTGGTACGATCATTGCTTACCATAACCTTCACTCCCTGGGCTCAAGTGATTCTCCTGCTTCAGCCTCCTGAGTAGCTGGGACTACAGGTGTGCACCACCATGCCTAGCTAAATGTTTTATTTTTTGTAGAGTCGGGATCTCTCTATTTTGCCTAGGCTGGCCTTAAACTCCTGGGCTCAAGCAATGCTCCTTCCTCAGCCTCCCACAGTGCTGGGATTACAGGCGTGAGCTACCGTACCTGGCCGTCTTTCTTATGTCCGCATCTTATGATGGCTTCTAACATACAGGGTAAGGGGTTCAGAGTTTATAAATGGGGAAACTTTTCTTCCTTACTTATGACTCTTAAAGAGTTTGATTGTAAGAAAAGTCTTTGGAATATTTTAGATTTGAATATAAGAAATCATTACAAACTTTGGGGTTAATAACTCTAATTTTGACAAGAATATATGAGGGGAATCTAAAAAACCCAAAATTTGTTCATAAAAAATTGTTTATTCTTACATGTTTAAACTTCAGTCACCTTCAAAGTACTCTCCATTTGATGCAATACACCTATCAAGATATTTTTCCCACTGCTCAAAACAGTTTCTGAATTGGTCAATTTTGATGCCTTTTAGTGCCTCTAATGTTTTTTGTTTCACCTCTTCCACAATGGCAAAATGTTTCCCTCTGTGGACTTTTTTCATCTGGGGAAACCAAAAAAAGTTGATTGGGGCAAGATCCGGTGAATAGGGAGGGTGGGGCAACAGGGATAATGCCATTTTTGGTCAAAAACTCCTGAACATAGACCAATATTTTGTTAAACTCTAGTGTGTCCACATGGCTCTTTGAGCTATGGCCACCATGTTTCCTGGCTTTGACCCCCTTTCCTACCTAGGGGAGGTGAATCTCCTTTCTCTTCTCTTTCTCTAATTTATTTTCTAAATAAACTGTGTTTTCCAATCTTAAAAAAGAAACAAACAAAAACTGCTAAATACTAAATACAGTGTGGGCAGATACACTTGTAAATCACTCATTATGAAATGGACAAATTTGTTGAATCTCAAAAAAAAAAAAATTCACTGAAGTTGAACACAGCCTCTCATAACAACTAGAGCTGGTACACTGATGCTGATGAGTTCCTAGAACACTTACCTAGCAGGGGAAACCTTTACTACCAGAGGCTCACCCTCCAAAAAAACAATTCTAGTTTTCTTTGGGTTCCCCCTCATATTTATTGGACCAGTTTTGAGATTTCGAAGGTATGCCTGCTGTTTATCATATATTTAGTTCACTAATTTGTTGATATTTTCTTACCATTTTTTTGCCCCAGTTTGCTAATCTGTAGAATGGGGATAATAGTAGTTCCCATTTCATAGAATTGTTGTGAGAATTAATGAGTCTGAATGAAGATTATATTCAGTACAGTATTTAGTAGAATTCAGCACAGAAAATAGTCCAGATGTCAGCTGAAAAAATAGAAAAGTTCCCAGCCACCCTTTGGGGGGAGGGGGAGTAAAGGGCATTCTTATCCAGCAGGTTTCTGCAATTATTGTAATTAAGGAAATTTCTTTAACTTTATGACCTGATGTCAAATTTGAACTTATTCACCCAAAATGTATTCTTTAGAAATTTTGCATATCATAGTGGCATAAGATTTTTTTAAATGCCTTTTAAAAGAAAAGTTAGTGAAAGAAAAAGTAATCCTATGGAGTTTAGAAATTCATTTTAGTTTCTTTTAGGTAGTAACAGAAGGTTTTATTGAGTAATAAGGTGATGGTTTTGTCTGTGATTCTTTTTATTATTTTATTTTTTTTAGGAACTAACTTATTTTTCAAGTGGGGCTTAAAATTTAAGCCCCAATTAATTACATGTAGCTTTCTGATCCAAGACTGACCCTGAAGCACTGACTCAAAGAACATTTGACTTTATTTTCCTGTGGCAGTTCAATAACGTTAGACCTGTTGTCTTCATTTGTCCCTTTTCTTTAATCTCCAGTATCCTGCATATTTCTATTGTCTCCCTGATTACATGCTTTTGTGAGACAATTACCAACTGTGTGATTGCAGAAAGAATTACAAAACATACCATGAGCTCTCTGTAGGTGATTCTTGCAGATTTATTAGAACTGCTTAATAGTTTAGAAGTTTGTATAGATTGCTTAGTTCAAAAAACAGGGTTGGGGAGAGAAAAAGCTTGTGTAGCTAACCTAGCGTTGCCCTTGTATTGCGCCTGAGTAGGGAATCTGATAAGAGTGATTTCTTTTCCTTAAAACCAATTAAGCCTTTAGGTTTGAAAAAGACTGAGAAATTAAAGCCTGGTTTATAATCTGTACACAATACAGATAGTGGCACTTCTCTGAATTATCACTATGATTCTGGCAAGCAAATATAAGAAACTACTTTAAATTCCTGCTATGTTAGATGCTGTAGCAGATTTGAATGGTGTTGACCATAATTCTCCATCTGTCTGCCTTAATTAGTTTTTGTGTGGTGCGTTTAATTGGGTTTCAGTCATTCCTTACAGAGCACTAATCTGTGTGTAGGCGGTGTTCCTATTGCCATGCGGCTCTTCCTCGTCTCAAAATGGCAGCCTTTCTGAAAAATAAAATGCTTTTTAACGTATTTTTTGAATTCTCAGAAATAAATCCCACACCCATGCCGGGTGGTCGAGTGGCAGATCTGGGTTTTATCTCCCCTGATTTTGAATAGGATCAATAAGAGTCCTGTGTAGTGCACAAAAGATATTCAGATACTAAGTGAGTGAGTGAATGAATGAATGATTTTCTACCCATAGTAATTTACTTGTCTGTTCCCTGGTTGATGTTTGTGAGCTATCAAAAGGTGCCTGAGAAAATGCTGTTTAAGGAAGGGCACATGGTTGGTCAACCCACAGTTTTGTCATCTTTTATTTACTGGTGAGTGAGTTCTAACCTTGGTGACCATGTTTCCCATGTTGCCTGACAAGAGATACTTTTCTGACGTCTGGATCTGAAAAAGTTTGGATATTAAGAAATTTTAATTCCCAGTATTTCAATAACTTTGGAGGATGACAACTCTATTTGAAGTGAGGATTGTATTAGAAAACCTAAATTTACGGTAAATGTAGCAGTGATCCATAATTGGACATGTTGAGGTGAGCATAATGGAAACTTCTGGACTCTCTTAGTTGTTATCCTGGGTACTTATATAAGAGAAATGGCTACCCAGGGTTAGAGTGGAATCTGACCATATAGCAGAAAACGTTGTGATCTAGGCCTTCTTAGTGCAAATCCTAACACTAGGGCTAATTTACTTGGGGATACGGTTGTGATTGCCTCCATTTGGAAGCCAGCCTTTTGGGGTGAACACAAAAATTCATTTCTACTTAACTAGTAAAAATATTAATAGTGCTAGGCACGGTGGTTTGTGCTTGTAATCCCAGCTATGTAGGAGTCTAAGGCAAGAAGATTGCTTGAGCCTAGTATTCAAGGCTGTAGTGACCTGTGATAGCACCACTGCACTTCAGCCTGGGTAAGAGTGACAGAGTGAGATCCTATCTGTAAAAAATGTGTGTGTGTGTGTGTATACATATGTATATAGAGAGAGACACAAACACACACTAGTTTATTTATGTATGTGTAGTATATGTAGTATATAGCATATACTATACATATTGCATATATGTGTGTATATGTATGTGTGTATATCTTTTAAAAGTCATTTAAAGTCAAAAATTCAGAAGTTAGCAGATGTTGAGTGCCCACTATATTTCTGACCTGGCAATATGGAGTCTATTAAAGATGTTAATTAGAAGGTCCTTTTGAGATATTTAAACTTAAATATATTAGCTGTAATGAGTTAGATAGAGGTAAACACAAAATCTGGAACCATATTAATGACAATAAATATTCCAAAATGGTTCTGTGCTTTTGGTCAAGCTATTTGGCAAGAGAACCATTTCACTATTCTGATCAACAGGTTTAAGGTCACCTCAATTGCATTCATCTAATTGATACACATCTCAACATCTTTTCTTTTTCTTAAACCAAAATGGTTTAAGGGCTAAACAATAGATAGTTGAAACTTTTATCAAATTTAATTTCTTAATTATACTTATTGCTAGATGTATGTTTTCCCTTAACATTGACACTTTTAAAAGACTCAAAAAAGGTTTGCTTAAATGTTTCCTTTCCATGTGATTCCTAAACAAAAGATGGCAATTTAGAAATAGATTTTATTTATTTGCTATTTGTCTTTTGACTATGGATTTATCCCAGCAAGGAAAACATCTCTTTCATTTTTTATATGGATTTTTAGTAATTATTTCTTCTTTGGACTGATTTCTTTGACATAGGATGTACTATAAGTTATAAAAACATCTTTGAGACAAAGATGAATGATTATTTAGGATTAGGTACAAAGTTGGATTTTTAAAGACCTGCAGAAATTCAAGTCTATTATTATGTTGACAAATAAACAAAATCTATTTAACATAAATGAGACAATATTGACTTCCATGCTACAAATTATATAACTCTTACTTTTATCAGATCCTTTGTTTTTTAAAAAATTATTTTAAAATGTTGCTACCTGCTAGCTGTTAACCTGAAATAAATTATTGTTGTTCTACAACTCTGTCTGAAAAATGACTGATTAATTATATAGTACAGTTTTTCTGAGTCACCAAAAATAGGAAGTAGCTGTTTTCTTGTAATATCAGATGATTTATGTATGTGTTCTTTGAACAGCTGAAGAAGTCACAGATCTAAAGAGGCAAGCAGTTGAAGAGATGATGGATAGAATTAAAAAGGGAGTTCATCTTAGACCAGTTAATCAGACAACCAGACCGAAGGCAAAGGTATGGAATGACTAAATGTTTACTCCCCCCACCTTGACAATTTTCTTTTTAAAATAAAAGAAAAAAATTTGATGAAAGCTACGTTAGGACTGTCAAATCTTAGGATAATGTGTCATAAAAGCTTTTACCTCCATATAAGCCTGTTACAGAAAGACTCTTAGTTGACCTGTGAAGAGCCTAAATCAGTATAGAAAATATGCCATGTTATTTGCAGGGTCATGTCATCTCTTTGAGAAAGACATTGATATGAACTGCTATACCAAACAAATAATTGTTATAACCTTTCTTTTCTTTGATTTTTTATTCTTTTGTGTGATTATCTACTATGTGCCAGATACTGTTTTAGGTACAGGGAATAAAGCAGGAAACAAACAGACAAAAATGCTTTCTTCCTTGAGGCTTCTATTTTAGTGGGAGGAATCACATAATAATGGCAGAACAGAACTAAGATAACTTTTGAAAAATAGTGAGATTTATAGGATTCTTTTTCATTAATTACTTCACAAACATATTCTAGGTCACTTCAAGGAGAAAGTTTTGTGCATATGTATTATCAGTTCACTCCTAAACAGTGAGTGCCCTGGGATCTGTGTGAGCTTAGAGTCCAGTTCTGTATTTCTCCCCTCCCTTTGTGTCTATTACATTTAAATAGGCCCGATAATAGTTTTCAACATTTTCCTTGAAAAATATTCTTTCTTCATTCAAATTAGGTATGAACATACTAGTTCTCCTTCCTTCTCCCCTTTCCCTTTCCCTCTTCCTCTCTTCTTCTTTCTCTTCTTCCTTATCTTCCTTCTGCTATTTCCCCTTCCACCTTTCTTCCCCTTCCCCCCTTCCTTGTTCTTCCCTCTCCCTTCTTCACCAGACACCAGCACTGAATCCCTTCTTCACCAAACTTTATGGTTTGATTCTTTCCTTCTGTCAAAGATGCCTCTCTTCAGCTGCTTAACTGTCCCCCAGTATGATAACTGTTTAATTCAGATTCCAGTGGTTTTTTTTAAATTGCCACTTTGGCACAGGCAGGCAAGATAGTCAGGCAAGGCAGGAGTGTCCATGGTGTGACCTGGAAAGAGGGAAAAAAATCCTCAACTCCAAGTGTAGATTTACATCTAGTGAAACAGAAGCTTTGACCAACCATGTAAAGTAGTTCAGTCTTATGCCAAGGATATGAAAGCAGTTTTCTAAGTAAAAGACAGAATGTAAAACTGGAGGAGAAGCCAAGTGTGTAGAATGATCTGGCACAGCGGTTTCAGTGCTGGTGTCTGGTGAGTGAGTGAAGCACTGTTGTTGGAGTTGGGCCCAGGCAGTGTCACCCAGCTTCCCCATGCTTTTTTCTCTTTTTAATGGGGGTAGCACCTGCCCTATTCCACTCATGGTGTTGTTGTCAGAACCAAATGGAACAAAGCGTGAAAACACTTTAAAATGCAAGTCCGAGTGCCACCTTTGAAAAAGAATACATTTTTATAGCTTTTGTATCTCCACTGCCATGAAAAGAATAAGCAACCAAACTATTACTAGAGAAAAATGCAATGCCATTTTAAAAAACTAGAAAGAAAAATGTTGAAAACTTCTTAAATCATAAGCAATCAATGTTTCGTACATCCTTTTGTTTTCAGAATATCACTTTGTGCTTTTTCTTTCTTCCCATGACTCTCCCAACAGTTACACATTATTTAATGTCATTTCACAATCTGGGAATCAACTGAACAAGGATCAGTGGATGACTGGGTTTTTTGCTGGTAATCATTAAACTGTGTAGATATAGTGTTGAATGACCTGACTGATAACATTTAAAACAAATGGTCACTGCATGTTTTAGGACAGATGCCTTCCCCCAGTTCCGTCAGGGCTTTCTTGAAATGTCACAAGTTATGACAATGTGCAATCCAGGCTTTAAAAGGTGTGTGCAGTCATAGGGCAGCCTGAATGGCATGGCAGCACTTTGGGGTATGCCTAAAGGCAGGGCATTTGTTCAAACATCACAGCCTGTCACCTGAGCAGTTGACCTGCAGAAATTGAGCCTGCCTTGAGAATACTAGTTCAACTGCATAGTTTCTACATTTTTTGGAGGTGGCGTTGGTGCTGATGTGGTTGAAATTAGTGTTCTAGTGCTTATGACTGGCACTCTGGGCATGTATATTTCACAGAAAACCTGGACTATGAAAGCTGAATGCCTCAGTCAAATTTGTACATGAGCAGCAAACTTCTCTCTTCCTTCTCTTTCTTTTTAAAAATTGAAATGGGATCTTGTTTTTTAAATTCTATTTTGAGAGGAAAGGAGTATAGGCTGCTATTACCAATTTCCATTTTTTGTTGAGAGAAACTGTAGCCTCACCTCTTTGCCAGGAATGAGTGGCTCAAGAGCTTCCTTTCATTATGTCTGTGCAAGTTTCCTCTTCATTCCATCTTTTGTGAAAGGAAGTAGTACAGGGAAGAACAGATGTCTTTCCTGAACTTATTTTTCATGAGAATCTATCTCATGTTAAATTTTCCCTCCGCTAAATTAGTCTAGGGATCTACAGAGATCGTTAAGTATTGTGAGACAGACAAATGTTACCAAGAATTTTATTTCAAATTATTTTGTTCATGATATGGCCAGAAGAGAGTGGGGCTTGTAATTAAGACACTTGACTCAAATACTGCCTTCCTCAAGCCTAACTTTTCTCCTAAGATAAAGTGATTGAGCTATACCCTCTGTAAGGTCCTTGACTGCTCTGGCAGCCAGCCATGCTGGCATTCTCCTGTAAGCTAGGTTCTTTGCGGGTCCCAGCTCCCCAGATTCGGTCCTTTCATGTAATTCATGAGACAAGACGTGCCAGGACCCTGTGAGCTGACCTCCTCTCAGGGCTGGTGGACCTCCTCCCAGACCTGGAGAGGTTTTCTGCCCTTTCGCTTGCTTCTGCTCTGCACTGCCTTCTCTCTAGTCCTTGCTTGCCAGCAGAGTCCAGCAATGCAAGTAGAACACAGTTTATTGCAAAAAGCTTTGAATAGTTTGGAATCAGATATTGAAACTCAGTATTTTTTTTAGCCTATGATAATAACCAAGAGGTAATAAAATGGTATTTAGAAGATGATACCTTGTGTCCTTTTGCTTTGAATATAATTTCTAATTTCCTTTTTAACTGCCACTTGAGAGCATTAACATGGCTAATATTTTTTTCCTAACTTGAAGACATAGACCTAATTTTAAGAAATACATAGTCATACACATCACCAATTTAAGCTACCAATCCTTTGCCATGTAAAAATCATTGTCTAGTATTTTTAAATGAAATTATTCAGTAAATTTTTTATTTTTAAAATTGTAGCCAGAATCTTCAAAAGGCTCTGAAAGTGCAGTGGATGAACTAAAAGGAATACTGGTAAGAATAGATCTCTATTTATTGTTTAGATAAGGGGAAAATGAAAGGAGAATATTTTAATCTGTTTTTTATGAATAATTGCTTTTGATGTTTTATTCTCACCTACAGTCAACCTCATTTCTTTTGCCAGTTTACTTGATTGTACTTATGGACTTCTCTATCATATGTGCTAATAATATATCAAAAAACACTGCTGTTTCTATTCTAAATGAGTGGTTACACGTTCACCAAAGTCATTGTTTCCTGTTCTTGCCCCCCAATCTTGGCATTACATTATGAAGATCAAGAGTCTGGCCATCTGTACATATTTATGAATAACAAAAATATAATAGATGATAGTACTTCACTTTGAGGAAAGTGGAATTCTTGACATCTAAATGTAAATCTGAGATCCTACCCAAATATGTTAATATCAGGGTCACAATCTGCCTTTTCTTACAGTGGAAACAATAATTTGATGATAAGACAAAAGGCCCTTCCTTTATGTTACTAATTTTATTTTCTAAAAGTAATTCATATCCGTTGGAGAGTATGCTTTCTCTCTCTCTCTACTCATATTTTTGCTTTTGAAAGTATGAGCTTTTGCCAACAGAATAAATGGCTACTGCCCTCTCCAACAGTTGCTGGCAAAGATAAATGCCTCACTTAGGAAATGTTTCAGATACTAAGAGCTCTATTCTCAGATCCTGTAACAGTCCCGATTCCAGTTATTATGCATAGTAAGTCAACAAATATGGGGGCGGAGGTACAGGACTAAATACTCCCATGTTTGTTGTTTCAGTGCTAATTATGCATTGCATGTGGACATCCATATAATTGTGGTAAACAAGATTATTTTCATCAAGCATGTCTTTAAACAGTAGACTTAACTCAGAATAGCTTAATTAGTTTGCTTTAGTTTTAAGTGAGTGGGATTAGCACTGAAGAGAGGTATATCACTGGCTAACAGCGGTGTTCTACCTACAGAATAACACTGTAACCTTTGAAAAAGTATGTGGTTATTATCTAATGGATTCTTTGCTCAGAAAATTTAGTTATCCAGTGTTCTGTTAAGGAGAACTCACTTTGGCATCCCTTTTGTTGTGTTTGCATCATAATGCGAATGCATGCTCATAAAGATGTCTCCTGGGGCACAGTTCTGATAATGAGTTTGACTTTTTAAAAATCAGGTTTATTTTAAAAATTAGTCATCTCTATGAGATACATATGCTAATATTTGGTTATCTAAAATATCCTCTTCCCTGATAATGCTGGATGATAAGTTTACTGAATTATAGTATTACTTCTAAATATCATACTCATAAATAATTTTGTGCCACCTCAAGGAGAGAAATTTGTGAAATAATTTATCAATTATAAAAATTTTAGAAACCTCTTTCTTTTCTGCAATTGCCCCCATCCTTCTTGCCCTGGATCTATCATTAGATCCTTCTGTCTTATCTGGCATTAATGTATTACTAGCAGTTATTATTCTGACATTATTTCTTCGTTTTTTTATTTAAGTGGAACTCCTGATGCTTTCCCCTACTCCTCTTTGCCAAATGGCAGCTTTCCTCTGCCTCTACAGAAGTTTATTTGAGGGAAGATGGATCATTTATAACTCTCAGTCACCTGGGGGCCTCTAAACTATACACATTCTTGTGTGTGAGAGAGAAGAGAAAGCCCCTAGGTCATCTTGCCTAACAAACGGACATCCTTATTCATGCTTCTTGCTGGAATTCAGACTTATGAGGATGATCAAAATTAGTACCCTGTAAAGCACATGATGCCAGCCTTACAATCATGTCATATATAAAACAAATATGGAAGAGCACGAAAAGTTTATAGTGTGTACTCAAGTGGAAAGTGAGCACCTGTTCAAGAACACCATGTTCGGTTCTGTTGTGGAACAGAAATCAGGAAGACGCTCAGCCTGGAGTATTTTTGCTGAAATGGAATGTGACCCAAGTTGTAAGACTTAGAGATTTAGCCCACTGCTGAGTCAGCACATGGGTAGAGAATAGAGAAGAAGTCTCAGATTTGGGGGAGATGAAAAAACTTACTCCATTTTTTGAGTTATGTAATTTGTAAGCCAATTTTTAATGTCTCGGTGCTGACTGAACTCATTTTTTCAAACCTACTTCCACTTAATTTTTAAAGCTGTATATTTTAGGGTAACCTCCTGAGTTATTCCAGTAACTTAAAAGCCACTCTAATGGCAATTTCTGAGGAATAAACTGATATACATTTATCTAAAAATCTCTTCTCAATTTCAGTTGGCTCTAAATCAAAGAAACAAAGACTGTTTTTAAAAAAAGTATCTTCTTACAGGTCTTTTTCAAACATCTTCAGTTTTTCAGAGTACCCAGAAGTTGTTAAAGAGTTAATTTTGCCACCTGACAATTAGATTAGTCAGCATTGTGAACATTTAGTGAGCATGGGGACTAAGATTGTTAAATGATTACAGTGATTTGAAATAGAAAAAGAGTACTGGTTTAGGAATTGGAAGATCTAAGTTTTAGGTTCAGCCCTATTACCGACTTACTGTGGAACCTGGCCCAGACCCCAAGTCTCACTGAGTTTGAATTCTCTTGTGTGAAGGAATTATGTGTACCACATGGTTTCTAAATTAATTTCTTATTCTCAAATTCTATGATTCTAATATAAATAGCTAGAATAATTTTGGTACTTTATTAGTTGAGCTCTTCATCATTTCAATTGAGAGTCGTGCAGAAACCTTCCTCCATAATTGCTTCTATATTTAAAGTTTACTCATATATGAACTGAGTCAGCCATATCCATCAGTAAATGGAGAGAGAAGTTTGGGTTTCAAGGGTTAGAAGTTGGAAAATTTGGAAAATGGATTCTTTCAGTATCAGGTATGACGAGAGGGTAGCTTACCACAGTCAGGAATTTGTAGAATAATACTGTTACCAAAATAAAAAGTAGAGAATATTATAAAAGGCAAATTCCTTAATAAATGATATGCTTGGAGAATATGTATGTATATACACACACACACCCCCCATTTTCCTTGAATTAACTCCAGCCATTGGGCATATCACACAAAGTATCCTTGACATTCAAGCAATAAAGTAGCTTTACAACTTATTTTAGTAGTGATAACCATAAGGTTTCTTTTCACATTTATTTACAAACAATGCAGATGGAAAGCTTTTTAAAATTATTAATAAAAATGATATGGGAATAGTTGTTCTAGTACGTTTTTCAAATGTATCTAAAGAAGCTAGAGTTCTGTTTTCTGTATCTTGTTAGGGTCACCCATGCCTCACTGTATGACTCTTTCATAAGTAGATATATATCTGCAATGTTAAGGATATAAACCAAATCATCCCATTTTGGAATTATAAAATAAGTTATTATAGTGTTACAAGTGATGTGATATTTCTTTTGACATATTAAATGAAGTTTTACAATAAGTGAAGAGCCAAAAGAGATACTTCTAGTGGAAAAAATAATGTATGTCTGATTAAAATATGAACCTTATATAAGTACTTTGTGTATCAGTTGATTAGGCAGCTGATAATAATGTAATATCCTTGTCAGTTTCCCTCCTGACAGCAGGCTATTCTTCTATAACTTTAAGCAGTTAGGGTGGGAAAAGTTTTTTATTCTAAGCAAAACACCATAACCTATATCATGAGATTTGTAACCATATGATTTTACCAGCAACTTTTTTGTTTTATAGGCTAAAGAAAAAACATGGATTACCATTTTTAGCCATTATAATTTGTAGGATACTTCAGGAAGTTGCATGGGGGAAGGAGCAGGATTAAGGCAAGCCCTTAGTGAGTTCAGCCATTATAAAGCCTGGCAAGGTTATTAGCCTTGGTGAACAGAAGCTGCCTTCTGACTCTGTCATGAAGTCTGGAGAGTTATACTGGGCTTGAGGTTCTTATTTTCTCTGATCAAGAGTATGGTTCTCCTGGCCCCCTACCACCTATTTTCCCCAAGCCTTTGGCACAGCTGAGGAGGATCATGTCAAAGAAATGAGGACACTTCTTATGAAAGACTTGTAATGTTGAAGTATCAAATCCTTACACATAATTGAGAAGAAGTACATCACCCAGTGTTCTGTACAAACACTTGACTAGTCATGGGGATGGAAAAACCATAGCTCTCTCTACAGAACATACTTCTGAGAGGAGCCAGGAGAGTGAACCACTGCATGGGTCTTTCTCTGTCTTCTTGAAAACTAATATTCTTTTCAGCAGTACAGCTTTATAGCATCTCTTATTTCCTTCAGTATTTTCTGGGCCATGAATAATACATTCACTACATTCACTGTCTCCTCTGTTAGGAATACGGAATTAATATGCCTGACCCTTGCTTGCCTCTTTGTATGATTATAACTTTCCTCTTTCACGCTAAAGTCAAGGTGTGCTCAGCCACACATTTTTCAGTGCTGCTAGAATTTGTTTTTAGTGACTCGTGGCCGCCATATCAAGATTTCCTTCTAAGGTGAGTTTAATGTATCTGTTCTCTTCTTACTCAATCAACATACATCAGAATCTTAATCATCAAGATGCAGGTGCCTTCCCGCTGCTGAATTTCATGCGGCCAACTCATCAAGAAGTGTTCTTGCCTTGTTCTTCTGATATGAAAGCTAGCATCTACAGCATCAGTGGCATCTTCTTAAATGATCCAACACTCTGTGTTGTTGAAGATACATTCAAATACACACACACACACACACACACACACACACACACACACACACACACGTATATATATATATATGTATATGTATATATACAGCAAATTTGTTTTATTTCCTAATTTCATTCAGATTCTGGTAATGTTTTGATTTTTATATTCTTTTGTGTATTGTATTAAGACATTAACCTTTTTGTTTTTGTTTTGTTTTCACTTTAGGGGACACTTAACAAATCCACTAGTTCAAGAAGCTTAAAATCCCTTGACCCTGAAAACAGTGAAACTGAGTTAGAAAGGATTTTGCGTCGCAGAAAGGTGACAGCAGAAGCAGATAGCAGTAGTAAGCTGGTTTGAATTCTCCACAGTCCTCCTCTTTATCTCTGAAATATCTTTCTCTAAGTCCCTTTTTAACATGAAATGACCTTTTAAAAATTATTATTAAAATATTTATTTTTAATGTGAGTGAGAAGTATGGGATGGGCAAAGGTATTTCTAGATATGTCATAAGAACTCATGTGTTTTTGTTTGTTGGTATGTTTATTTATTTGTAGGTAATCAGGCATTTATAGATTTGGCTTGTTTAATGCCCTGTGTAAAGACATTCAGGATGGGTTTTGGCAGTAATATAGCATCAAGTACTGTTCTGGAACAAGACCATCTGAGTTTGAGTTCTGTCATATACTAGCTGGTTACCCTTAGGCAAACTAGTCAACCTTTCTGTGCCTCAATTTCTTCATCTATAAAATGAGGATAATAAAAGCACTGCTTTGAAGAATTACTCTAAAGGTTAAGTCAGTCAATATGTGAAAAGTGCTTAACATTGTGCCGAGTACAAAGTAAGTGCACAATAATTACACATCAGTTACAAATGCAAGGAAATCATCTTTACTCTTCATATCCATTTAGCTAATTGTCTTTGCCTATGAAACAAGTGAATGAGAAATTTCAGTTCTGTCACCAACAATAATATACCATCTGAACAAGTCTTGAGCTCACAGTTTGTATTTGTTTCACATTAAGCATGTGTTAGACCTCAAAATCTATTCCAGAACTATGTATGTCTTCTTGTTTTACCAGCTTGGAGTCATGGGAATTAAGAGAAACCTTTTTTGAGTTTTCCCTTGTGGCCAGCTAGGAGGCTGATTCTGAAAGACTACTATGAGGTAGAATTAATTGGCACCCATTGTGAACGGGCTGATCTTTTATACTCAGTTCTGTCAACTTCAAATAGTCTATCATAGCAGTTTAGATCTGGAAAATAATAAGCCATGTTGACCAAATTTAAGTTACTAGACTATTCAAGATGGGTTTCTTATAATCAGGCTCTAGTTTTGACCAAGGAATTTACTCAAACAATTGAGTGAATTGAGTCTTTGAACCAAAAGCAGCATAATACCAGACAAACCTTTATTATAAAAAGATGACACTTTTGTTTTCTTCTTTTAAAAAAAATTCAGCCATCCAGTTTTTAGTTTGACCTGGAGATTTCACTGTTTCAATCATAGAAAGAGTCTCTTCCTCCCAGTTCCCTTCTCCCTGCAAAATGCCACAAGATATTTTTTTCTTAGGATTGCTTTGCGAACATTACACAGCCTCCACATGACATATGAATCGTTCTTCATTTTGTGATTTAATCAGTGCTTGAGTCATCTTTTCCATCATTTCAGCCTTAAAGTACTCATGTAGACATCACTATTTTTAAAGATTTTGTTGATGCCATTTTAGTACTCTGTCATTTACATTTTGTTTTTTGTCACTGCCCTTTTTGCTTCTCAAGAAACATTCTTACTTCACTCATGAATTTGGTCAAACGTGCAACACTCGCTGTTTCAGAATTAATTTTCAATGGAAGAAATGAGGAAACATTTTCATTTTAGCAGTATGGAAATTTGAATATTTCAAAGAGTAGAGAAAGATGCACATTTATAGGCCTGGTGAGAATCATTTATGTATTGTATTCCACCAGTAAACAAATATTTGATATATTATTTGTGGGAAATTAGAATAAAAGACAGATATTCAACGGAACTATTGATAAATGAAAAGAATAATAAGAACTGTCATTGGCAAGGTGGAGAGGAAACACATACTGAGCAGAAATTTTCTTTGAGCTCCCTAATAGCCAAGGCAAAAGGAAAAAAGAAGGAAACAAACATACATATAAAGAAATCCAACCATTTTGTGGGTGGTACAAATGTTTTTCTAGCATCAAAGTGGAAGAGGCAGTTACCATGTGAATCTTCTTATAGAGGTCATGGAGTGACAAAGTGAAAATTAGGGTGTGATTGGTGAATAAGGAAGCTAAAGCAACACAGCTACATGATGGGAGTCAGATGACAAAGATGGGGCACTGGATAGGTTGGTGCCTCAGGTACTTAATCTCTGAGGTTGTTTTCTTCTACATACAAAGGCTTATGGGAAAGTAAATGTGAGGTCACAAGTGGAGCAAGGAAGGAACATAAGAGAGGCAGCCAGAGGATTGTAGAACTCAGATCCCAGGATAATGAGTATCTCCCCTGGGGCAAGGGATATATCCTTTTCCTTATCATTTTTGAGACGGAAAACAGCTTTTATGAACATCCTATGAACCTAACTGATGTTTCCTTGTTTTGCCTAGCTTTGTGGCCTTACCAAACTTGCACTTCAGAGAGTATCAAGTGCCTTTTGGAGAACTTTGGGTGACTTAAAAAAGATGCAGTAATAATAACCTTAAACACTATACATTTTAAATTTTTTCTTTTTGTATACAAGGAAAGTGAGAGCTTGGGCTTAGCTCACTACTCTGCTTCCTTTTTGCAGGAAAAGCATTGGTTTATTCAAAACAGATCTTGGTTTCCAACAAGGACAGATTGTTTAAAGATACCTAGTGCTTTGGTAAAAAAATTACCCAAGGGCAGAATAGAGCTTAGTGAAAGCAAATCTTGAATTCAACTTCATGTTTATATTTGACTTTATTTCTTGGGCTTTCTGCCCTTTTCTCTTTACTTACATCTCCATGCAACACGAGGCTTAAGACAGCTGGGAAGAGGAGGCCTTTTAAACCAGATTATTCAGTAATGTCATGAATTTGTCTGCCTAGATAGTTTAGATGAAATAAGTAAGAAAGACAGGCACTAATGTTTTGTGAGCTATGGCTTCTGCTAGACCAGAGGGGTTCTGTGTCGCCCACATAGAGTGATGCTAAAAGAGGTGTCCAACAAAATGCCTAAACAACTTTTCAGTCTCTCTTAGGTAGGGTTTCAAATTAGACCTTCATTTTTAGAGTTGATGTGTTATACTGTTGTAGAACATCAGACATCTCATATCCAAATGTAAGAATAACATTCCAGAGCTTAATATTAATGATCAGGGATTAGCTAGCATTTTGGATTGTATCCACTAGTATGTTCCATTTTAGGTGATGATCTGGCATTTTTTAGGAATAAAGAGACACCCAAATTTTGTGATTTTCTTAGTGGCGCCTTTCAAAGTTGTCCTCTAGCTTCATTTTAGAAATTAGGATTAATTTGCATGTCTGTGATTTATTTCATAAATCTCTTTGTTCTAAAAGCATTCCTTCTGAAGTTTAAAGAAAGACATACTAGAATCTTGCTTTGAGAAAACTGCCTGTGTGAGAATCTTCCTGCCTAAAGTTAGGGGAAAAGTCATAAGGGGGCTTAGTTTCATTGCCCAGAACTTTTAGATTGATACGCCAATAATTTCAGTAACAAGCCCTATTATAATGTTAAAATCCCATCCCATAGAGCAGAAAAGTCCAAAAAGTAAATAGCCAGACTCTTTCCCACTTAATTTTTATGATCCAGTGTCTGTAATTTAAAAGGAAATAAATCCACTTACTTCTCATTCACATTAAAATGAAAATGTTCATAAAAGCTGTTTAATGCTCAAGAAGACTTCATGAGCCTCTTAGAAAGAACCTTTCCACATTGTTCCATTTTCTGTTTAAAATGCAGAGCTCAGTTTTGGGAAAGAACTCTTGAGAGGCAAAATGGTTCAAGTATGACTGTCAGAAAGCCATACTTTGATAAGAAAAGAGTTTTCACAATTGCAATATTACTAAGGACTCTGGTCAGTGAGGGGACTATGGCCCAGGATTTTGTGGTTTCCTAAAGGTCTGTACACAATTTCTCAGCATGATCCTGGTGAATTGAGATGTACTAGACCCACCAAAGGAGAGCAGATTTCCAATAGGAACATTTTTCAGCATGCTCTTCAAATTTTTAACAAACCTGACCTTTGCACTTCTTGAGGGATTTTCAGTTAATCTGTTTTTCAGTACCATATTAATAAGCATTGCACAGAATTATTAAACTTGAGGTATGTGTTTGGTTTTAAGGTCCAACCGGGATATTAGCCACCTCAGAGTCCAAATCCATGCCAGTGTTGGGTTCTGTATCCAGTGTAACAAAAACAGCCTTGAACAAGAAAACTCTGGAGGCAGAATTCAACAGCCCGTCCCCCCCAACACCTGAGCCAGGTGAAGGGTCCCGTAAATTGGAAGGATGCACAAGTTCCAAGGTTACATTTCAGTAAGTAATGATACTCTTTACTAAGTAGTACATAGAAGAATCTATAATGACTGACTTGTGTGTTTCTTTGGTTTGTTTCTCGTTAGAGACATTTTTATTTGGCTACAGAATAAATACTTTTCTTCTTTCATTTGATGAGCCAACTTTTGATTCTAGAATTCTAGCTTCAAGATCTCATTCAGATCCAAAAAAAATACCAGTTTACTTCCCCTAAACTGGTTTGGTAATCAAATTCTTCTACACAAAATATTTACTTGGATGATACTTTTTCTGTATCAGAAGACAGTCTTTCGAGATTAAATGCTTAGGTCATCCTTCTTAATGGTTCATGAGCAGCTGAAGAAGATACTAGATCTTGCAGAGGCTACTTTGAAGGGTACACCTTTACAACCTTTTGTTCTGGTCCTCAGTTAAAGACATGCCTAATATTGCTCTATCCTAAGAATGAAAATATACTATGTAAAGAGTGATCTATATAGACTTGCTTCTAAGTGGCACTTTGATTGTCAGAGAGTTAATCCTGCTATTGAATGTGTTTCAGACACATCTAGTGGAAAATCAATTTGTTTTATAACAATGGCAAGCTCTTTTTAAAATTAGTCTACAGTTTTGCTGTAGTTCTCTTGCCAGGATGTCAGCCAGTTTGTCACTTAAAGAAAAGGAAGAGGTGAGACAAATCAGATCAGCCGAATATTGTAATCATGGTTAATTAAACCTCTGATTTCCTGTCCTATCAAGAGAGAAAGAACCCCTTTTTTGTAGCTCTAGCTGTCTTAGCTTAAAGGTGAAACCTGGACAAATGAAGTTGAAATTTAATTTGCATCTATTTTTGCCAAATGGTATTTTCTTTCTCTCTTGCATTTTTCTCATTGCTACTATTAACTTTTTTTCCTCTTTTGGAATGAATGACCCTCTTTGCTGATTTACAGTTTTATCTAATTTCATTGCATCTAAAAGCACATTTTCTTCTGCAGTCATGTGTTTCCTTTCTTTTGACTAGAGTCATTTGAACAGTTCTAACAGAAAGATGATCTATATTCATTCTTCAGCTTTCCTATTAAATTTGTTTAACACCTAATTTGACATCAACAATCTGGCTACATTTGAACCAATATCCAGACACAAAAGCAATTTGGCTGAGACAAGTTAGTTTCTGATAAATGCTTCAGTGTGTGTATATAGATTTTTTTCCTTTACCATTTTACACAGATAATCTTAATCAGAAAATACTGCAACTCCTTCCTCCTTTTGTCTGCCTTTTATTCTCCAAAAGTAAGTGGAAATTACATTTCCAAGAAAGGAAATGAAATAATTGCAGGCCCAAGGTCTGCAAAATGTGTGTTGAATTCACAGTGAAAAGGATCCATGTGTTGACAGACACAGTTGTTAGATGCCATAAAGGCCGATATGAAGCTCAATTTATTTCTCGTCTTGCTTGTTCAATGACTGCTTAAGAGACACATTTCAGTTTAATTTATCTACTTAAAGCACTAATACAAATACTGTGTGCTGCTGTATTAACTTTTAAACTTTGTAACCTAATGCTTGATTATTCAGTTCTTGACATTCTTTAGCTAAAACAACTAATGCCATATGTTTTCATATTGACAATAATTTAGCAAATAAGAGGATCTTTCTGAAAAATCTGTTTAGTACAATTAGACTATCCAAATGAATCTGATAATTTTGTGTATGTACAGGGTAATTATTCATGTCCCAGATGGGCACATTTCATTCATTCTGTGTAAGCCTTTTAATGACTAAAAGAAGTTTAACGTAATGGAATTACATGTAAGCTTTAAAAGTAAAAATTTATATTATTTATTAGGATTCCCTGAATCCAGCCTACCTGCCAGGAATAAGAAAGGTTCTTTTCAGGACTGTTTCTGGCTTGCTTTGACTAATAAGTTTGTTCTATTATATTAACCATAAGGTCGAGGCAGCCACAGTGTCTTACTTCATTGGCTGGAATTGTCAAAGCACTGTGAATCAGATCAACAGTTAAAAAGTGAAATGTAGCCAGGCTCGGTGGCTCAGCCTGTAATCCCGCGCCTTTGGGAGGCTGAGGTGAGTGGATTGCCTGAGCCTGCGGGTTCAAGACCCGCCTGGGCAGCGAGACCTCATCTCTACAATAAATAAAAAAAAAAAAATTAGCCAGGCGTGGTAGCGCGTGCCTGTAATTCCGGCTACTCGGAAGGCTGAGGTGGAAGGATCGCCGGAGCCCAGCAGGTCGAGGCTGCGGTGGCCGGGAGCGGCCACTGCACGCCAGTCTGGGTGACAGAGTGAGCCTCCAACTCAAAAAATAAAAATTAAAAAAAAGTGAAATGTGAGCTGTGCACAGTGACTTATGCCTATAATCCCAGCATTTTGGGAGGCCGGGGTAAGAGGATTGCCTGAGCCCACAGATTCAAGACCAGCCAGGGCAACTAACTTGCCAAGACCTCATCTCTACAATAAATTCAAAAATTAACCTGGCGTGGTGGCATGTGCCTGTTAGTTTCAGCCTCTTGGAACACTGAGGTGGAAGGATCACCTGAGCCTAGCAGGTTAAGGCTGCGGTGGCCATGAGCATGCTACTGCACTCCAGCCCAGGTGACAGAGTGAGGCTCCAACTCAAAAAACGTGAAATGCTTCCTTTACTTTTTAAAACTGCGTTTACACTCTAGTAGTCACACCTTTATTTTGATTTGTGGTGCCACCACCATAGTGTTTCAGGTCTTTTCAGGCTCTTGATGGGAATCAGGGTGAAGGGAAGATATCAGTTGCAATACATTATTGCTTCATTATGGATACATTATTGCTTCAGCACATGTGTATGTCCATACACACACACACACACACACACACATACACACTCACACTCACACACTAGCCCTTATCAGCCCCTACTACTCTTACCTCCCTTCACTTTGGCCTCTTTGGCCTGGTCCTGTTCCACCCTAGACCCTCTGCTTTTGCTCTGCCCCAATAGCTGTATAGCCTACTCCCTCACCTTCTATCAGTTCTTTGCTCAAATGTCATCTTTTCAATGAGGCCTACCCTCACCACCCTATTTAAAATTGTAACCCATCTTCCCCTAAGTGCTGACTTCCCTTCACCTTATCCTATGCCATTCCCCCCATAGAAGTTATCATGCTTAATTTACTGTATTCTGTACTTACAATATTTATTGTTAATTTTTCCTCTTCCCCTACTGGAATGTAAATTCCATGAGGGTAGAATTTTATTTCTTTTCTGTTCACTGGTTTATCTCAAACACCTGGAACAATTCCTGCCATCTGGGAGGGCTCACAGTAAATACTTGTTAAATAAATGAAGGAATGAGCACATAGAATCAATAAAACAGCAGAATATCAATTAATTGAAATACTCAATTAAACAGTATTCAGCAGTTGCATATACTGCTGAATACTATATTTAATATACACACCAGCTAGATATTAGAGATTTTTGTTGATTGGTTGTTTGGCTGGGCGCTTTGGTTTTTAGAGGTTTTTGTTGATTGGTTGTTTGGTTGGGCTCTTTAGTTTTTAAAGCATCTTTTAAATGCCCAGGAGTCATTTACATTCAGCTCAATCTTGCATATCTTTTTTGCCTTTGAACCTATGCCAGATGAAGTTATCAGAGACAACAGAATATCCAGCTGTGAGAGAAAGACTCAGTTATACTCACCTGATTGGCCTCAGATGGACAGGAAAGTTTACTAAACTACTAAGAAATGTTTTAAATGTAAAGGCAGAAACAAAGATGTTTTCTGCATAAGATCTTCACTTAACCAGAAAAATAATACCAAGCTATCCCTAGGAAGTTCTTTTTTCTTTTAATAAACTTCTAAAATCAACATATGTATATATTCTAAATAATTGAGTAACTCGTGTCTGGTAAATTATAAAGTCAGAGATATATTGATTTATTTCCTAGGGACCTATGAGAAAGCAAAAAACACTTTTTTTTTTAGAAAGCAGGATTTATTGAGAGGACAGAAAAGCTCCCACAGCGGGAGGGGACCCGAAGGGGTTGCCCAAGAAACACTTTTAATACTTAATTATGAGAATTAATTAAAATTAGCATTCTTGTCATTAGCATAAGCAAAGCAAGAGTTTTGTTTTCTTTTGTTTTTAAAGAAACAAGAAGAAAAAGAAAGAGGGTAATCAGGACTTGGGGAAGCCTAATTTTTTTGTTTCTATTTTAATAATGGCTTGAAAAATATGTCTGTTAATTATTTCTACTAAGTATATACTGTCTAGTCATAGATGAGAAGAATCACAACAAAAAGAAAACAAAACACAGAGAGGTTAAATGACTTGCCAAGGTCATCTGATCCAGTAAACAACCCAGGTGGTCCAGTATCTTAGCTTTTGTCCTTGAGGATCCATTATCTCAGCCTTATAATTTTAACATAAGATAGGAAAGAAAGTTACTGAAATACTTGTGATATATTATCTAATTTAAAGAACACCTCTGCTAGGTAAGTGTTATTACTTTCAATTTACACATGAGGAAATTTACACATGTTAAATCTCACAGTGAATTCAAATTTTATTAATTCTGATTGCTTATAATTCAAATAGGAATTCTGCTGGTGGTCTCCCTTTATGCTACAAGAGATAAAGAGCTAGCCAAGCACATAAGCAAAGCAAAACTTATTTTTGCTTTGATGCTCTTTCTGTTGATTTAGATTAATCTGATAATGTTAAAATATAGTAAGACTCATTGATTCAGGCTAATCAGTGGGTGGGATGGTCAATATAAAAGAGAGAAAATTCTAAATTATAGAATTTTTTACAGAAACTGTTACTTTCAGACAGCTGTAATACCTGGAAATAGGCTGATTGAATGTTGCACAAGGTCAGAAAAATAAGAATGATTTGTATTTTCATCAATAAAAGTCTGTGGACAGGAGAGGGGAGTAGCAAGGAAACAATGTGATTAGTTTAGTAAACCAGTCATTTTCCGCATATACATAGGGTAGCAAACAGCATCCAGTTATTTCCAGGACT